GATGACTTGCGAGTGATATAATGCACTCATTGGCACTGCGATTGAAAAACAACACAAACACTGATCACGTGTCCGTCCAATGCGTTCACCCATTCATAGCAATAGACTTAAGTGGCGACACCTGGATCGCCAAGTTGTGCACAAGTCGGTGGACGAGACTACCGGCGCCGTCGTGCTGAACGACATCGCGTGCGGGACCGTCACTACCAGTCGTCCGAGCAGTTCGTGTGTGCCGTACGCCAAACCCTAAGACCGGTTTGTGTCCGACTGCTATAGTTTAAGCGCTTTCCGTCAAGTATTTCAGTTAATTCATAGAGTCTATGGCATAGACTTGGCTGTAGTATTGGGTTTCAAATGTTTTTCTCAAATTAAATTAAATTAAATTAAATTAAATTAGTAAGCATTTAGTAACGTCTCATATAAGCACCACATTTGCAAACATCGCGAAGTGTCGGCGCACTTATTATGAGCTCTCGGACCCCCTTATATGACACAAACTGTCACTGATAATCAGTAACTGATTGTAAAATACTTGCATAACAGTTGTTTGCAGCAAAAAACGCATGTTATGTTGTTTATCACACCTACCAGGGAAGCCTGGTAATATGGAAAGGTATACCAAGGTCACACCTACTCGCCAGATAAATAACCCGGATATAAATTAGACAAACCGTTTGGTACTATATAGTAGTCTTATACTATTACCGGTAATATAGCCACCGGTAGGCTTGGACCGCAACCTGTAGAGTAGCTTTAAATCCATTAGCCGTACGGACACCACACCCCCTCTGTGCACCCCTCCCATTATACGCCATAATGGGAAATAATAAACAATTTGAATGAATGTCTCATTTGTTTTATTTGAAAAGAAAAGAAAAAACCTTTTATTGAGAACCGTATGAACAGAAAATAATACTAAACATTATAACTAAATAAGTGTTTATATAAAGAGTTTAATGAAAAAAAACACAAAAAAAAATTTGATTATGAAATTGAATTGAATGCTCGCAAATACAAAGACTTTTTTCTCTTCATATCATTTAAAATGTTTTTTCTCTTTTTGTTTATATATATATTTAAAGTCCAATAGTTTTCTCGGGAGAAGTCGTTTTGAATGTGTTTTTTGTTTTCTCATAATTGTGTTGTATTTATAATAATAATAATAATCTTAACTATAATTAAGTGTTGGAATGAAGGGGAGAGAGAGAGACACAAAAAACTTTAAAAATATATAATTTTGATGTAAAAAAAATTGATAATTAAATTATAATTAATTGAGAGAATAATTGAATGAACAAAAAGAAGGATCGCTTAATGATTACAAAAAACAAACACAAACGTTATGGTCGGAAACGGGCGCCCAATCGGATGGCAATAAACAATTGTCTGTCTCTTATGAGAGCTATCGATAGGAAAATATATAAAGAGAGAGAAAGAGAGAGAATAACAGAGAGATAGGGATATAGTGAGTGAGTGTGAGGGAGAGAGAGAGAGAGAAAGCGTTCGACACGTTATGGAGAAAAACACGGATAAAAATCGGACACAAAACGAAAAGATCGGGAAAAAAATTTGATTGGGTTTTGATTTCAATGAACTTCAGAGCTCTCGGGTTTGGGTGTCATATGATTAGCGGCCTCTTGTAATGTCGAGTGAGGGGTGGCGTGTGCTGCGGATAGCGACGTGGGTCCGGAGCCGGGCGCCGGCAGCGGCTCCAGTGTCGTCGAGTGCGGCACTATGGGTCCCGTGTAGTTGTAGGCGCCACCGATACCGCCACCACCACCACCGGCGCCGTTAATACTCTCGCCGTAGTTGGACGACACGAAGTACTCCTTATTGACGCAATTGCGCAACGAGTCCGGTATGCGACCGACGATCGCCCGGCGTATCTCCGACGCCGCCATCTCGCGGAGTTCGGTGGACGAGGCGTCCGAATACCAGGCGGCGTGTGGGGTGCAGATCACGTTCGGCGAGTCCGCCATTCCCGACAGGCCAGACATGGGCTCGTTCTCGTGCACGTCCAGCGCCGCCGCCCGTATGCGACCGTCCTTTAGGGCGGCGCCCAACGCGTGCTCGTCCACGAGTCCGCCGCGCGCTGTGTTCACCAGAAAGGCACCTGAATTGTCACGTGAGTGTGTGCGTCAGCACCGTTAGTATATATACGTAGTCAATGAATCGGTGTGTATGAGTGGGTAGGGGTAGGGGTGGTAATGGACAGTGAATGGCATACCCGGGCGCATCTGTTTGATGGTGTACTCGTTGATCAGATGGTGGTTGTGTTCATTGAGCGTACAGTGCAGTGACACGCAGTCGCTCTGAAACAGTAGGTCCTGTAGTGTGTAGACGCGGGTGAGTCCCAGGGATTTCTCGATGCCGTCCGGGAGGTACGGGTCGTAAAAGATTACGTTAAACCCGAACGCCTTGGCCCTCAGCGCCACAGCCGTCCCCACGCGACCCAAGCCAACGATGCCGAGCGTATCGCCGCGTATTCGCGCGCATCCGGCGGCCGCTTCGCGCACCTGTTCGGGGCCCTGAAATTTCTTGCCCTCGCGGACCATATTAGCCAACCAGTAGGTGCGCCGGTAGAGGTTCAGCACCAGACAAAGGGTCGTGTCGGCCACCTCTTCCACGCCATAGCCGGGAACGTTGCAAACGGCAACTCCTGTCCCATAGGAAAGGCAAACAAACGGTTAATACATGTGGAGAGGGAGGGAGGGAGAGCGCCGGCAGCTTTTACTGACCCATCTCTCCGGCGGCTTTGATGTCGACGTTGTCTACTCCGGAACCGATCCTAACGATGATTCTCAAGGCTTTGAACTTTTCGAGATCCTCTTTGGTGAGAGTGATGGTGTGCCACATGAGAGCGCCCACCGCCTCATTCAACACCTTCTCGTGGATCTCTTGCGTGGACTGCGCGTCACAGAAGGCCACAGTCGCCACGTCTTTCAGGATAGGCATCTCCACCGAACAGTCGCGTCCGTCCAGCAGTGCCACGAGTGGCCGGGCGTGCATCGGGCCGTTCGCTATGGGACCGCTTCGGGCGCCCACTGTTACCATTGACATCGCAGTAGACAATCACCGCATGGGAGA